ATAAGCAAATTGTTTCATTGTTGAGTGGGTCTCTTCAATGCCTGTAAAGCTCGAGTATGTTTTAATACACCATCTAGAACTTGCCTGATAGCCGTACCATTTTCCTTTCTTACGATAGGTAAATCAAATATTGCCTTAATGTGCGTTTGAATAATTAATCTTTGATTGTCATATCTTTCTTGCAATCTAGTCCAAGCATTCTCGTAATTTAAGCCCGAAATTTCTAACGAAGATATAGTTTCTGCGGCCTCGCCTTTTAATGCCGACTTTAGATAATGAAATCTTTGTACGTCATTTAACAAACCGTTTGAATGTATCAATGAATTAAACACATCAAAAAAAGCATACCAATCTTTGTATAGACCAGAAAAGGTAGGCAACTCTATTTTGGGCAACCTAACAAAATTATTATTGTTGTTACGTGTATTTCTCTGCGAGTTATCTGATACTCCTTGACCTACTTGGTCTAACCTGTCCTCACTTATAGCTACTCCTATGTGACTCTTTATTAATTTTGTAGCAATTAATTTTAAGTGAAGAAATTTGTTTTCATAACCTTCTAACTCTTTGTCTAACTCGTCATCGCTTGCATTATCATCTAAAAGACCTATTTCCATTTGGACTTCTGATAGTGATTTCCATGTCTCCTCTGCTTTGCTTATTCTTAATTCAATCTCGTCAATGTCAACGTCACTCGAATTAATATCTTTAAAGAAATTTTCAGATCGCGTTAAACTAGCTTTTAATATTCTTTTTCTTTGTTTCAATTTAGCTAAACATTCTTCGACTGAAGATGCCATGGTTATACGTTAATGATTATTATTCACGCTTAAACAATTTACTGAATTTCGCTTTTACTTATCTTAAACAGTGTGACTATTAGTGACTTAACGCTTTCGATTACTCTTGTTTCGTTTTGCTACATTCTTCTCGATGAGAATCCTTCTTTGGTTCGATTTCCCGTGTTGAGAACCCTCGGTCTTCATGTATGCAGGAATGGACTCGCCTGCCTCGCTGGTGAAATGGACTCGTCCGCCTTGCAGGAATGTATTTTCGACTTTGTAATATAGAATCTTCGCTAAGATTCTACCGCTGCCTTGCGGCCTAATGTATGTGATTTCCTTTGTATTGGACAATCACTCTCTTCTTATAGACACCCGCGTGATGCTTACAGGATATCCACAGGTTGCTTATGAGATCTCGTATTCCGACCGTTGTCGTTGCCACGCCGATCTTCCGTATGTGTTCCAATCAATTTACAATTGATCCGGCTCAAAGGACCATGTTTGCGAGTACGTCCGGAGTTTCTTTCGCACTCTGTTTATTTACGATTAATGAATCCACACGTTTATATAACAAGTCTTTATTGCACACAAAATGCATCCTTTCATTTACAAGCCTCGCTTGGAACTCTGGCTGAGCGCCGCGCCTCGGCCTCTTCTCTTACTAAATCGCAGCCGGAACTACTGACTACGCAACTCAATTTTCACACAAAAAATTAATAGAAATAAAATAAAGAATCTTATTATTAAACGCAAACACTAGCCTTGTATTAATTCTGCGTATTATTTAATGTATGTGTTAAATTTTGATAGATATAAAAAGGCGACTTTCGAAAATTACAATTATTTTTCGCTCATTCAAAGAATATTTTTGTTTTTTTCGTTGCATTATAAAAAATATTATATTTTTTTAATTATGTGATGAATGTGTCTATTTTTTTGTTTTATCTAGATAATAAAACTTAAAACTTTTATCTAGATAATAAAAGTTTAAACTTTTGTTTGGTCATTGAGTCTTTTATTTCATTATATTTAATAAAATAAACTATTAATTTTATTTAATAAAACTGAGGTGTACTTATATTATATCGTTTAAATTCCTGTTCTTTCCTTATTATAAACTTTCAACAACAATCTAAGCAATGAAAAGAATTTGCTATATGTTAGGCTATTTAAAGATGGACCCGAGAAAATAAGTGTAAATGTTATTTTTTTGCTTAAATAAACTTGATTATTCTGAAAATTTGATTAAAAATGTCGCTTTTGGTTACTATTTTAATGCCAGAAAAGTTACTTTTTGTCATCTTTTCTGTCAAAAAGCAGCCATTATTTCACTTTTTTTGATCCGATGACTGGATGGCAGCGCTGGTTCTATGTATCCTAAATTAATTCCAACAATATTTATAATTTTCAGTCAATTTTATTACAATCAAAACAAAACAGTGTTTTACCTTTCAAAAAAAATTGTCGTATATGTATATTAAATAAAAAAAAAGCTGTCCTATATACAGGGTGTTTCATTTTAATCTAGCCAGGCGAATATTTCAAACGCTGTTGAGTTTAGAGAAAAATGTTTCAGACAAAAGTTGTAGGGTTTGGAGGGGGACACACATTATTTTCTACACTTTAAAGTAATAAAATTAACATGTAGTTTACTGTAGCAGCGCCAAGTTTTTTTGCGTTTTTTAATATTTTTATTTTTTTAATATTTTTTTATTTTTTATTTTTATTTTTGTTTTTTTATTTATGTATTTATTTTTTTATAATATATATAGTATATGTAAAATATAGTATATAATATAATTAATTATATATACGACAGCTTTATGTACAAGAGTTTTATAGAAGAGCTTTATAAAAATAGTGTACAACTTTTTTCATAGTTCTTTAGTCCCATTTGTCGCCATTTCCTAATATCATATTTTTTTATAATTAAATATTACGTAAACAAATTATGTAAGCAATTTATTTAAACGTTAGTTTAAATCAATATGTACTTTATTAGTATGTATTAGTTTTAAATCTACAATACAACCTTTGGTGTTAATAATTCAAGTTTACTCTTTTGTTGTTCGTCGACAGATCACCGGAATGGAGGTTCATTCCTGATCATGAAAAAGAAGAGCTCGGCCTGACATTTGACGTGGATGGCGAGTTTTGGATGTCGTTTCACGATTTCACGCGCCATTTCACTCAACTTGAGATATGCAATTTGAATCCTGACTCTCTGACGACAGATGATATTAGCGCTGGGAAGAAACGTTGGGAGATGAGCGTGTTCGAAGGAGAATGGGTTCGTGGAGTAACAGCGGGTGGTTGCAGAAACTATTTAGGTGAGATATACAAATAAAGGTCGCTCAAATTCTTACCCAAGTATTCAACTTAAACGCATATCTCGTGTAGAAACCTTCTGGCACAATCCGCAGTATCGTATCACGCTGGAATATCCGGATGACGATGACGACAAGTGTACCGTAATCGTCGCTTTGATGCAGAAGAATAGAAGGGCACAAAAAAGAATGGGTGCCGATTGTCTCACTATTGGATTCGCAATATATCACGTATGTGAAATTAACTTAAATATTAATGTATTAATAACATATATATTAAGATATCCATTATTTTTTAAAAAAGATATTTTCCATCTGTAAGATTTTCGCAAAACACGTATCTGTAGGTATTCGTAAGTTTTTAAGACGCTGAATTCGAATTTCTAATTGAAATTTTAAATTTAATCCGATAGACTTAAAACACTAGACAAAAATTTGACAAATTATTCAAATTATTTCAAACTTAATTTCTAAGAGTTTTTATGGTAATACTTAAAATTTTGACATTAAAATTTTTTAATTTAAAAAAGTATTTAATTTTTATCAAGCATTATTTTTATCAAATATTATTGTATTACAAAATAATGATTTTATATTTAAATTTTTTAATTAAAAATTTCGAAAACTTTCTGAAAATATTTTATATAAAATCTATCTTTCGAATTTTTTTAATTAACAGTTGGAGTATCCGGAGAGATTGCCAAAACCGTTGGACATTAACTTCTTCAAGTACAATGCGTCTGTTGGACGTTCCCCAGCATTTATAAACTTAAGGGAAGTTACGTGTCGCTTTAAATTACCGCCAGGTGTATACTGCATAGTTCCAAGTACTTTTGATCCAAACGAGGAAGGTGAATTTTTGCTAAGAATTTTCTCTGAAAACAAGAACAATATGGAGTAAGTCGTGCTATATATAATACGGTGATATTTGTTTCATCCTAATTGAATACTTTCTATTGATATATTTCCGTTTGTTTACAGAGAGAATGACGAAGATGTTGGTGTCGGTGAAGTCGATGACAGAGTAAGAATTATGAATATTTGGAATTATGAATTATGAATGAAAGGAAATTGAAAGTGCACAATAATAGATTAATCCTAAGCAGTATAAACTGTTCTGTTATAATGACATATCGATAATTGACATATACATATAGAAGATGGTTCGTCCATTTTTCCAGTATGGAATAAAATAAATTGTAATTGCGTAAAGTTAATGCTGTTTTGGATTATATATATACAGGGTGTCCCATTTTAAAAACCTCGCGTGAATAACTTTTCAGAGACATTTTCAAGAAAAATGATTTAGACCAAAGTTGTCGGGTTTGGAGGGGGACATCCGATGATGACATTGGTTTAACCTAGAGTGTACATGCCAAGGTCATATGGAGATCAACTTTGTTTTTTAAATAGAACACCCTATTTTTGATTCCAAAATCTAATAGCTGGTGTCAAAAGCTTTTCAAAACACTATAATGAAGTTATTTTTCATTAAGTACTTTTCGAGTTATGAGGCTTGAAAGTTACAGCATTTTGACATAAAATACAAAATATCTTGTAAAACATTCAATTTTCGGGAATCTTACCTTAATACTTTTATGCACAAAATAATGAGACGAATCAATTAGTATAAAGAAAACACATAGTTGCTTTCAAGAAAAAATATGTAATTTGCAACATGCAACTGCATACTTTTTTTTAAAACCAATGTCCCGGTGTCCCATCAAAAGTGGCCATCCCCTTTTATCTTTAAAATTAAAAGAGATAAACCATAACAAATATATATCAAATTAAATGGTTCAAACTAAACTCTATTGTGAGCATAATATAATAGTTGCTTACAAAAGCTATTCGTGTTAACGAACGGAGAGGTATGCATAATTTTTTTATAATGTGGATATTTTGATGTAAGAAAAGTTGTAGCGCTATTTGAAAAGAATACAACGATGTATGATTTAATATAAATATTTTACATATTATACGAGTTTTATCGGCTTGAAATATCGCGGGCGACGTCTACCTTTTCACTTTCGGCCCTGCGATATGACCAACTTCTGACTCATGCCTTAGAAATTGACGTATGTCAATTGAAATTGTAGCGCTGTTAATTATTAATTAATTATGAAGTTGGCCATATCGCAGGGCCGAAAGTGAAAAGATAGACATCGCCCGCGATATTTCAAGCCGATAAAATTCATATAATATGTAAAATATTTATATTAAATTATACATCGTTGTATTCTTTTCAAACAGCGCTACAACATTTCTTACATCAAAATATCCACATTATTATAAAAAAATTATGCATACCTCTCCGTTTGTTAACACGAATAGCTTTTGTAAGCAACTATTATACTCACAATAGAGTTCAGTTTGAACCATTTAATTTGATATACATATATTTGTTATAGTCTATCTCTTTTCATTTAAAAGATAAAAGGGGTGGCCACTTTTGGTGAGACACCCTGTATATATATGTATGATTTTATGTAATTTGAAACCAACTGCTAATAATTCACAGTAATGACACAGCTTTGTGGGTATGTAGGTATAATATACATACTTATATTGAAAGCGCGTAACCATTGATAATGCTTTCAACAAATTTTGTGCTAAATCGCACAAGTGATAAAATTAATCAGTGCTATGCAATTGCGTTTAACTCACAGCTTAAAGTATTAACGTTTGTTGTGCCGTTTGATACTTAACAAGTTCTACTGCAGCGTCACTTGAATACTCTTTGCGATGGTCACTTATGAACACGTAACGATTCGCATGTTTATATAAGCTTGACTTTTAGGTACGCAATTTTGCAGATGATAAGGAAAGGCAAAATGGAAATAGCGTAAGTAAAACGCATGCTTGTTTTATGTTAAGGGGGTTATGGTGGTACAATGCGCCTCAAAAATACAGTGCCGCGAGTTGCGCGCGCCTGGTTCCCATTGCGTACTTCCATTGAAATATATACCATACTGGAACAAGCACGTCTTTGTTCTCGACCGGTCAGATGGAGATAGCTGTTCGGACCCGGATCTCTCTATCTAACCAACAGTCTCGGTCACGTGTTCACAGTTACTATTATCGAGAGTAGATGAGATAGAAAGAGAAATCCGGTACCGAGTCACTGCCTTGTCTGACCGTTTTGTCGAATGGAGGGGATAGCCTGTGCGCCTTCCAGTATGGTATATATTTCAATGCGTACTTCTCACTCTTCTTCCAAAGCTTAGTTTTTGTAACTGACTGTCTGTGCAAGAGCGCTAGTGTTTCGTCTGTGTATACACACACTATCAATTGCGTAAGAAAATAGTGATCCGGCAACAACGCACTTTTAGTTGTTCACTTTTAGTTTTTCAAAGCAAGATTTATGTATTAAGATGATTTATTTTTAATTAAACGTTGTTTACGTACGTATATATTATATTTATATATAAATAAAAAATATAAAATAATATAAAGATCTTAAAAAATAATTAAATATTTAAAAAAAATAAGTATATATATCTGTATATGTATGTATTTTAAAATATTTTAATCATTTTTAAGATTTTTATATTATTTTATAATATATTTTTAATTTTTTATCTACTCTATACTTATGTCTATATTAAATAAATAAATGTCTTCATGCGTGATTATTTAAAATTCCTACATGTTTTCTGCCGCGGAAATCTCACGTCTCGTCGGCCAGCAGTCGCAACGTTGCCACGTCTTGGTAGCATGTAACGTCTAATTTTCTGTGTTTTGAACTTTAAAACGCAATATTTTGGAAACCGTGAAGCTAAGCTTCCTGAAATTCAACTATAGTATAGTGACTACAATCCTTAATAACATATTAATTTTTAAAAATTTTCCTAAATTTTGTTTCGACGCTATTGTTTAAAATATGCCTTTCACAACGATCCCTCCATAAGATTCAATATTAAAACTCACAACTTTGAGAATTTATATCTCGATTTCGGTGAAGCTGAGTCCTCTGAAATTTTGACATGTACATAATAATGTTATTTACACATGGTAATTTTTTCAAAATATTCTTAAATTGTTGAAAAATTGCGATAACCCCCTTAAGAGAGTGGAAAGCTATAGTTCATATTGACATACAGAGTGTTTCAAAAATACACGGCAAAACTTTAAGAATGAGTCATATGTAGAGAATAAAAATAGTTTATATTCACATAGGTCCAGAAATGCTTGGTTTCTGAGTTAAGGCTGACGCACATTTCAGTTGCCCGCAGGTACCTGAATAAAAAGTTTCCTGGATAGATAGATAGAGGTGAACCAATTGCTTGGCCTCCACACTCACCTGACTAATTGGATTTTTATCTGTGGGGTCATTTAAAATCTTTGATGTATTCGTCTCCGGTGGATGATGTGGAAACTCTCCGCAATCAAATCATGATAATTTGTTAGACGATATGCAACATGCCAGGAATTTGGGATCGTCTTCTGGGGACAATGAGACGACAAACTGATGCCTGTATTCAGGCAGGAAATGGACATTTTGAACATCTTCTGTAAAATAATCTCCTGTGAAGAACTGTCATAATTAATAAATGACAAACCTTAAAAACTCAGAAACCAAATATTTCTTGATCTATGATGATATATGAACTATTTTTATTCTTTACATATGAGGAACCCATTCCTGAAGTTTGGCTACGTATTTTTGAAAGGATATACCTTGTATGTGCACCAACACAAGCATCTATCGCTATTATCAGATTATCATGTGGGTTCCCGCACTAATTCCGCACTAATACTTCATATTAGAACTGCTTTGTGATTTCAAGATTTAAAAATATGTATAAAACATGATTTTTTAAATGATTTTGAAGCATAGGTAAAATAGATAATTTTTTTCTATATTTTCGTCATTTCCTTATTTAAAATTTTTTTATTCAAGATAACATCAAGATATCATGATTAAAACGGCTAAATTCATGTTCTAACTGAAATAAATGATGTTAAAAGAAAAGAAATATATTTATTACGTTCATTTTTTAGCGTCATATTGTATTATATTTCGTAAATTTTTAATGCTTAAGAGAAATATTTATTTTTTATTATATTGATTTCGATGATTGTTTTCAATTTTGTATACATTCAACATCTGTACAAATGGAATCAGTAATGCCATAACACATGAAATTGAGTCAATTTCTGACAATTTGGAGACGACGAAACGTGCGTAGTTTCTTTGTACATTACAATTGCCTTTATGTTTTATCTTTTATATGAAAGATTTATACTATTTTTAATTTTATTTTTATGTTATTTTATATATAATTTTTATTTATTATTTATTATTTATATTATTATCTTTATTTTATTTTTTAGGTTCGTGAGGAACCTGAGCAGGATCGCAATACCGAGAAGGTCCGCGAATTCTTCAAGAAACTTGCTGGTGATGATTTGGAAGTGGACTGGATGGAACTCAAAGATATTTTAGATTTTGCCATGAAGAAAGGTAAAAAAAATATTGTCGATATTTTTTATTCAGATATAATTTATAATATACAGGGTCTTGCATTGAACGCACTGTACGATAATGAAACATTTTTTAGATCATTAAAGATTGTAATACTAAAATGTCGAAGTTACAATAGTTTTTAAATGGAAAACGTTTAAAGTTGACCAAAATCATATTGTTTCAAACTCACGCGCTCAGACATGGAACATGGGATACAGGGTGGCACACGAATAGTTGATACATTTTAATTTTTAATTAAAATTTTATTTTACATTGAATAAGATTGCAATTTTAAGTACAAAATATGGTATCCTTGAAAATTTATCTCATGGTATGATATGTTTGATATGGCCTCCATTACGCCGAACAACCTCTTCAAGGTGAATGCACATGTTTGTTTTTTTGTGAAAAGTCCTTAGCAGTGCTGCCAGTCAGGCCGGGTTGCTCTTCCGCCGGTTAGGTCGCACATGCGCCTGCGATGATAAATACAGTTGTGTTATAGATGCGCAGTTTGGGCCCCATTAGACTGACAGGACAGGATAAGTTGTAGCATGGGAAGATTCAAATAAGCTTAATATTTTTATTTTTTATTTGTTATTTTAATATTTTACTTTTCTTTAACTTATTTTCAAATATCTTTATTATTCAATATATGTATATGTTTACTGGGGTCTGCGCGCTCATAATACGTTATTGTGCACGGCCTGGTTTGTTCTATTATGTTATATATAATATTTAGCTTATAAGAGAAATTTTCTCCTTCAATTGCAATATTTTATTCTTCATGTTGGCAATTCTCTAACCATTAGTTAGAGTTAATAAACGTTGGAAAAAGTGGCCCTTAGCGGTCGAGTATATAGTATGGATGTCTGTGGCTACGTCATAACTTCGCGCTACAAACGCTATATTATCTGAAGTGGTATATTGGCAATGTGTAGCGTTTGCAAACTCCGTGAACGCTGGTTGGCATTGTGAACACTGTCGGTTCCGAGAGGGGTTTAACTGCCTACATTGCCATTTGCCAACAGCTTCGTTTGCCTACAACATTTTGCCGACAGCTTCAATTGCCGACATTCCCGATTGCCTACAGAGCGATTGCCTACAAGCATTATTGTGCACATACACATTGCACACATGACATTATTGTGCACATACACATTGCACACATAATATTATTGCGCACATACACATTGCACACATAATATTATTGCGCACATAAAATAAAAAAGTCGGAGAGAACTTCAACTGTCTATATTCCCATTTGCCAACAGCTTTGTTTGTCTACAACATTTTGCCGACAGCTTTGATTGCCTACAAGCATTATTGTGCATATATAAATATTAAAAATACAAACGTACGTTTGCACACAAAACATTATTATTGCGCACATACAAATTGCACACATGACTTTATGATATAAACCTCGTATCGCATCTGAAGCACAGGGTGATGTGAACTGAACCTCGCTCCGCGTGAAAAGTTGCAAACCCACGTGAAATCGTCTAATTATAAACCTTTGAATACTGTGTATCTGTTGATTTCCTTATTTCATGTGTGCAATAATACCATGTGTGCAATGTGTATATGCACAATAATGTCATGTGTGCAATGTGTATGTGCGCAATAATGTCATGTGTGCAATGTGTATGTGCGCAATAATGTCATGTGTGCAATGTGTATGTGCGCAATAATGTCATGTGTGCAAACGTACATTTGTATTTTTAATTTTTGCATGTGCACAGTAATGCTTGTAGGCAATCGCTCTATGGGCAATTGGAAATGTCGGCAATCGAAGCTGTTGGCAAAATGTTGTAGGCAAATGAAGCTATTGGCAAATGGGAATGTAGGCAGTTGGGACCCTCCCGTCGATTCCTAAGTTGTGCACATATCACAGATCATTACCAAAGTATTAAGATTGTGTATATTTTTATTAAGCTTTCAAGACTTATGACTGATGTTTTTACTGATTTTTCTACTAATTTTTCAAGACTTATGACTGATTTTTCAACTTGTGTGCGATTTATTCTGTGCGCAACTGGGACTCACTCATACCAAATGCATAAAAATAAAAAAAAGTACATTTTAACACTCAATACCATTACCACTCAATACATTTTTCTGTTTAAAATATAAAATATATGAAGAAACAAAAATGTAAATTTAAAAATTCTAGTATCGGACAATTTACATATACAAAATTATCAGGCAATTTACATATACAAAATCGAACATTTTATTTTATATATGAAATTAATTATTACTTGTACATGTATTTGCACAGAAGTCTTTTTATTGGAACTTTTTTATTAAATAGAAACTTTTTTACACGTTCACTTAACCAAGACCTGTCAAATGCCCAGGGAGAACAATAGGTCTAAGAAACATCTAATATAATAAACGTCTTAGACCTGTTGTTCTCCCTGGGGGAGCTATCAGTGAGCAGACAAAATATGCACCGTCGCTATGACACACCGCTCGATAGCACGAAGTAATGAACAACATACATCGAAATAACCAATCAGTATCGCGGAAAAGCGGCACAATAAAAAATTACATGTCTTTTTTAAGATAGGATTTTTCAAAAATTTCAAATTCTTTATCACTTTCAGATGACGATAATGAATCTATTAGCTCTCGCGCTATAAACTGCTACTGCTAATAATAATTTTTTTTTATTTTATTCCATTATAACAGGTTCAATGCAGTTCAATGAAAGTTAGAAAGATTTGAAATTAGAAGGTCAACTGTTAGAAAGGCTTACACCGATCATTTGATACGCGTATCAATTAGTATTTTAATGATAAATTCGTACTAAACAGTTTAATTTGAATAATGTAAACGATTTATAGTATATCAATAGAATATGAATAAAATGTCGAATTTTAGTTAATTAGTACGATTTAGCACTAATATACTAATTGATACGGCGTATGAAACAATCGGTATAAACTAAACCATTAATTTCAAATTAGAAGGCGCCACGACATTGCGCTAATGCTGTTTACGCAGCTCATTATCGCTAACGCTTTACTAGCTCTCCGAACAGATGTAGCGTTTACGCGACAGCAAGCTCCGTGAACGCACCCTGTATGATGTACAATATTATGCCTGAGCGCGCAAATTTCAAACATCTGATTGGTTAACTTTAAATGTTCTCTATTTAAAAACCATTGTAGTGTTGACATTTTGGTATTAGAATTTTTATCTCAAAATGGCTCAGAAATGTGGCATTACCGTACATTGAATTCGATTCGGAACATCCTTATATACAGGGTGTACCATAATATGTGGGACCCACTTCAGTGGTGAACAGTAAGGAACACAAAAATAATAAAAATGTTCATATAAACATATGTCCAAAAATGCTTTATTAAAAAGTTATAAACGTTCAAAGATTCATGAAAAAAATTGTTCAGTAATTATTTAGATTAGATTACACCTCATCGATTCTTCTGCCGCTGAGATACAGAAAATAGACAAAATAATACTACTTATTAATAGTGCTGCTTGTTAATACGGTTGGTCACTATGGAATTGTTTACATTGCGATGTGACCCATCTCAGAAAGTTCTTGACATATACTTTACAAATCTTTTTTTCGAATTTAATTTAATTATCTCAGTTAGTGCTGAAGCTACACCGCATTTTGTAAAGCGCAAAATTTGGAGAAAGCCCTCTATAATTAAAATATTTGAAGAAGCTTTAAAAAAATGACAAGAGTAAAAAAAGTCTTATTTCCTGCGTAGAATTTGAATTCTAAGTCAAAACATATTCTTGCAATTTAAAAATACCGAGATAAGAGTAGTACCCCTCCAAAAAAACCCCAAGGAGCAATTTTAGGAGCGACTAACAGTTGAATAGAGTGTACACTATACAGGGTGGGCCATTTTAATCTATCCACGCAAATTTCTCCGTAAGTAAGCCAAATACAGAAAAATGGTTCAGACAAAAGTTGTTCAGGACAATGGGGGTCACCTATTTGTGCTAGTGACTTTGACCTTGAAGTCAATTTTCAAGGTTATTTGAAGGTCAGAGTTATTTTTTTAAATGGAAACTTCTATTTTTGATTCCAAAATCTAATAGCTGGTGTCAAGAGCTTTTCAAAACACTATAATGAAGTTATTTTTCATTAAGTACTTTTCGAGTTATGAGGCTTGTAAATTACAGTATTTTGACATAAAATACAAAATATCTTGTAAAACATTCAATTTTTGGGAATCTTACCTTAGTACTTTTATGCATAAAATAATGAGACGAATCAATTGGTATAAAGAAAACACATT